TCTCCTCACAGTGAAAGACAGACAGTTCACTAATGTCTGTCTTTCACTGAGGAGAGTCCTTTAGCTCCATATTTTCCTTTGACTGAAAAGGGGTTCTTATTCTGTATTATAGCATCAGCCATGGCTCAGTGGACGGCACTCTTCCCTCTTCACTTAGAAAGTTGCAGGCTTGGGTCCCAGTCCACAGACTCAAGAATGGTCAAACACTGACGTTTGCGGTGCAATGCTGGAACAGCTGCACTGCGAGAAGTGCTGCCTTCCTCATGCAACACTAAGTTGAGATGATGCTGGAATGAAGCCAATGTTTGTTGGAAACATCAAATACTCCAAAGATAAACCCTTAACCACAAGTGCAGCCACCCGATAATGTTGCGAGCGCACTGCTCAGAAATTCTTCGGTGCAAGTTATAATGTAGAGATCTGAACTCTGAGAACTTGTGATAATTATTCTTAGGTGTTGCAGTATTTGTTTACCCTATGGTTTTCACTTTATTGCTATTGGCATGATTAATTGTATTCTTTGTGTTCTTTTTCAGGTTTTGGCACCTTCCATGTAGCTCTCTTGGCTATCTGTGGGTGGGCAAATGCTAGTGATGCTGTTGAAATTCTGTGTGTGTCATTTCTGCTTCCCACGGCTCGCTGTGATCTTCACCTTAGCACAGCAGATATGGGTTGGCTTACAGCAAGTATCTTCCTAGGTATGTCTTTCATAACCTCCAATGACTATCCTCTGTGCCAACAGCTGATGCCTGCTTGAGGTTCCAACTGGCGACTGCATTGGCCCTAGAAATACCAAACGAAAGACTGAAGTTGAGTATAGGAATTTGTAAACATTTTTCTGTGCCATTATAATTCACCGTGTCGCCTTTAGCTGAATAGTGGTGATTCTGAATGATGCATCCTCCTTCCACCAAGTTGATAGAGCAGTCGTTTCTAAAAGCTTCCTTACAACAAACCCAGTATTGGTTTGTACATGGCTGATGGCACCTCTTGCAGGAACCATTCTAAAATTTCTCAGGATATTCAAAACATTTTCTCTGCTACACGCTGGACAAGTCAAGCAAGTTTGCAAATAGTTGACTGTAATAGCTAAAACTGCAGTATTTGTAACATAAAGGGCTTCTTGTGCATCAAGTTTACAAATGGCCTAGAATTTCCTGACAGGTTCTGTCCAAATCTGCACCGAATTTTCTGCTATCTAACTGCTGGTTGAATACAACAGGAAACCATTGTAAGTAAATTGAGGAAGAGCACCAAACCCTGAAAACTAGTCACCAAGGCAGAATAGAGGTAATTTGGACAGCGCATTAAAAAGAAAAATGTCAGATTTCCTCAATCTTCTATGTCAATAGGCAGTAGTGGTGTCTAGGTGTTGGAAACCTTATCAGACCATTTAAAACATTTGATTGAAAAATATAATTTAACACAATGATTACAGAATCAGCATATGTCTAATATGAAATATAAAATTTAGTATGGGTCATTGCTCATCAAACGCATTGGCATAAATATTGTTAATTTCTATATTTTAACTCAAATATCTGACCCTTTTGGACTGATGAGTTTTATTTTCAGCTTAACTGCTGTAGCACTCCAATGTGGGTATTACAGGAACTCCATTAGCTGGACTGGTGTTAGGTACTATGTAATGTTAAGGTATTAGCTTTGGTATTTCTCGTTATTTATTTATTTTCCTTACATCTTCCTATTTCTCATGGTTTTTGGTGTTTTAAACATCATCATTTTGCTTCCTTCTTGCTTTTTTTGACATGATACAAACACTTCTTTTGTAGCCATGATGTGGAGGTGCCAGTGTTGGACTGGGGTGGATAAAGTCAGAAGGCACATGACACCAGGTTTATTTGAAATCACAGGCTTTCAGAGTGTTGCTCTTTCGTCAAGTGTAACTTTTTTTGTAATAAAGTATTTGACTCACTTTCCAGAACATTCCCTTTCTGCATCCATGCAAGAACTAGTTTAGCAACCACTTAGCATTCAAATCTTGAATGCGCCTAGGTAAATAACAAGTTTGACGACTGAGTACGTGGCATATATTTAATGAGTTTTTACCCGAGCTCACCCTTCTTTCAAGATCTCAAGCATGTAAATCAAGATAATTGCAGTGAAGAAACAATACTTAGTTGGAGGTGCTATACGGTATTTCATACAATGCATTAAAAGTGGTGGATGTCAAAAGCCTTGTGGCTCAATTTGGAAAAGACTGGCAGGGTTGGGAGGGTTCGTGTGACCTTCGCTTTAAAATTCTACTTCAGTTAGTACCAGGAGGGGAAGAAAGGGCAAATTAAGGGTCATTTGACCCTTTGCTGTTTGTGGAATTTTGTTGAATGTAAAGTGGCTGCTGGATTGTGGTTAATTCACTGGAGGTGAAGCTCTTCAGGATGTCTTGAGATCTGGTATAGAGGCAGATTAATTTTTTTTAAAAACCAAAAGATGCTGTGCGGATGCTGTGAATCAGGAACAAAAACAAAGTTGCTGGAAAAGCTCAGCAGGTCTGGCAGCATCTGTGAAGGAAAAAACAGAGTTAGCGTTTCAGATCTGGTGATTAATTTTTTGTTTGGTCTATACACCCTTAAGAAATGTGTTGAATCTTTTCTTGCAAATAGCAGTCTTTCTTCCTGTTTTGTGTGCAGGTATGATGATTGGGGGATACGTGTGGGGAGTTCTTGCAGACCTGAAAGGCCGTCAACGAATCCTTGTTTTCTCATTGGCAGTGAATGGCGTCTTTGGCGCAGTGTCTAGTTTGGCATCTAATTATTGGCAATTCCTGCTATTGCGATTTATTAGCGGAGTTGGGTGAGTATTATTGAAAATAACACATTTGTAACGGCTTTTCATCTTGCACTCGTCAGGACAATTTGTGAGAAATGCCAAGAAAGGGGAAAACTTGTTACATTATATGTGGAGCGTACTGATGGGTTGGCAAGTGATGTGTGGAAGCATTGTCACGGCAAATGCACTCCTGGAGGCAGAACAGGAAGCAGGTTCCAAGTCCATCTCGGCCACAACAGGAATTGAACCACATGTCAGATAGCTAGACAACTGAACTAACTGGCTCCTAGCTTGAGGGCAGTCGGGAGGGTTTGGGTGTTGAAGCTGTGAGGAGCAGTGGCTGGAGCTGGGAGGGCGGTGGGGACTTAGGAGGACCAAAATAAATCATGAGAAGAATTGTGGCTTGTGTCTGCATTTCAAGGCTGATACCAGCACTGTCCCATCTAAGTCTCTGATCTACAGTTGCCACTGCTGTCACGGAAGAGTCCAATTGCGGGGGGGAGGAGGTCACAACCCTAATTGCTCAGCACAACCCCAATGCTCTCTGCCTCTGTCACGTTCTTTGAACATACTTTTTGGTGCCCATTTGGATCCATGTGATATACCGCCAAGAAAGAGTTGTATTTTCCTAGCACATTTCACAGGCTCAGGAAGTTGGAAAGTGTTTTACAGCCAATTAAGTAGTTTTGAAGCATAGTGACTGTTGTCACTACAGCAACACAGTTGTCATTTTGTGGATAGCAAGATCTCAAACAGCAACTTGATAAGTGAGCAGGTGGTTTGTTGTTAATTATGTTGGCTGAGGGATAAGCATTGGCCAGGACATCGTGGTGAATTCTGCTTGTTTGAGATAGTGCCCTACAATATTTTGCATCTGTCTGAGAGTTTAATAGGGCTTTGGGTTTAGGATCCCACCCGGAAGATGGGATCTCTGAATTGAACCCAAAATATATTTGCAACAGCAAGTCGAGATAGGTGTCTTTTGATTTTGGTCAACTGGATGGTGCCAGCATGCTGTGTTGTGATGGATCTTTGTCGTAATTTAACTCTAATTGATTGATTCCTCAGCGTTGGTGGCTCCATACCAGTCATATTCTCCTATTTTTCGGAATTTCAACCTCGGAATAAAAGAGGCTGTATGGTCAGTGCTTTGGCTACTTTCTGGATGGCAGGGAACATTCTAGCAGCAGGTGAGTAGAGTTGTGTTTGTGTGTGTGAAAGAGAAAATTAAGGGTTATACTGGTTCTTCCTTGTCCAACTCAATTACAATTGGCTTCCCTTGCCTGATATTACTCCCTGGGGCCATTTTGGCAAGAGAGTTGCTAATTGCCAAAGGTGTGAATGCACAGTGGCAGTACTGACTTTTCCTTCACACGGCCACACAGGAAGTCGGCCTTGTATCAAGGTGGAGCACCATTTGCTTAGACGATTCCAGTGAATATGAAATAAAATTATCTAGAGCAGGTCAGAGAAGCACACGGCACAGAAAGAGTCTGTTCCTTTCCCCCTTGATCAGCAGCATAATCTTTCCTATAATGCAGAATATTTCTGTTTTTCAGGTCTCCGTTCCTCTGATCAGTTTCCTGCACTTAACATTGATAGAATCATAGAATTCCTACAGTTCAGATGGAGGCAATTCAGATCATCAAGTCTGCACCAACCCTCTGAAGAGCATCTCACTCAGTCCCCCATCCCCTCTAACCCTATGCCTGTCACACCGCATTTCCCGTGGCTAATCCACTTAACCTGTGCATCCCTGGACACTGCAAGGCAATTTAATGTGGCCAGTTCACCCAATCTGTGCATCTTTGGACTCTGGGAGGAAACCAGAGCAACCGGTGGAAACCGCACAGACAGGGCGAACGCACAAACTCAATACAGTCACCCAAGGCTGGAACTGAACCTGGGCCCTTGGAGCTGTGAGGCAGCAGTACTAACCCCTGAGCCACCATGCCGCCCTATCAGTTGTTAATGGATGCATCGCTTACTAAGAATCTTCTTCCCTCCATTTGAGTGATGGTACATTGTCCCTGATTTTCAGCTTCAACATTTTGCATTGATTACTGTTATTGTAAGCATAGAGAATTGCTGCTGTTACAGTATAATGAATACTATTCATTGCTTCCCTGTGGGAATCACCCTTTATTGCTGTGCGGCAGAACCTGCCTTTCTGCCTACTCTCTTTTGTTCCATTTGCTAACAAATTCAAAAGTCTTTCTTAATCTGCTTGAGCTGAGTGCTGTATTAAAACTTAACACTTTATTTGGCAAAGTTATACCCCACAAGTTGTTGAATTTGCATTTGTAATGCCGTGAAACCTTCCATGGATTTATGACTGGGATCAACTTCTCCTCACTCTGCAGTGATCTGAGTCTTTCTCTGCTAGTTGGAAAGCATTTTGGTGTTGCTTCTCGTTGGATGCTATGTAACAGAATAGGAAAAGTAACTTACTGATATGGCAGTTGGTATTAGTATTAACATCTTGGCGTTGGGAAGATGGGGGCTAACACACAAGTTGGGCTAACTGGTTGGGATGCAACAGGATTATGCCAACCAACTAGGGATTGTCAGCTTTGTTTATTTGTAACAAATTATGGCTGGTTTGGAGCCAAGGTGCCTAGAATCCAGCTGTTGACATATTTATAATGTAAACTTGTCTTTACCATCTGCATTATCAATGCTGGATGAACACTTAAAGTAGAGGGAATAATATGCTTTGGACCAAATGTAGGTAAATGGGGTTAGTGTAGTCTGGTGTTTGTTGGTCAGCATAGATATGGTGGGTCAAAAGACCTATTTGTATGCTGTCTGTCTCTATGAAACAAAGCCTACAATCCAGTGAGAACAGAGTATGTGTGGTGTGACTTTGCCATCTGCTGGTGATCAAGAAGATCATAAAATCATAGGCCCTACAGTGTGGAAAGAGGCCATTCAGCCCTTCAAGTTCTCACTTGCCCTTCAAAGAGTATCCAACCATACCCTGTAACCCTGCATTTTTACTGTGGCTAATCCACTAACCTGCACATGTTTGGACTGTGGGAGGAAACTAGACCACCTGGCAGCAACCCATGCAGACACGAGGAGAATGTGCAAACTCCACACATACAGTCACCCAAGGCTGGAATTGACCTTGGTCCCTGGCACTGTGAGGCAGCTGTGCTAATCACCGAGCCTCTGTATCCTTTAAGCAACCTATTTTCCCGTGTGCCATGTCATAACTGTCTTTTATCAAGGCCACTTGAAGGTGTGTGAGAGTAAGAGGCTGCATATTAGACGTCACTGAGGATCATGGAAATGCATCTCATAAGGGGAGTTGTCTAAATGAGATAATCAGACTTCAAGTCTGGGGAGTCCTAAGTTTAGACTCTTGCTTCATTCTAAGTCATTTTTAAACCACTCTGGGAGAGCTTACTGCATGGGGGCAAGTGTGTTAGGTTTCAAAAATTTCACCTTGAGAAACAAATCCACGTTTGTATTTGACTCAAAGGAACGTAACATGGGAAGTTAGGTGGTATAATGGAGAAGCTGGGTGCAGGTTGAATTCTCCCAGGTCAATTTCTGATGAGAAGTTGGTGAGTTATGGAATTATAGAATGGTTACACCAGAGAAGAAGGGCATTCACCCTTTTTTATTTTTGCTGGCTGCCTGAAGTTGCAACTCCCTCTGCTTACTCTCGTTTGTTCCATTTGCTAACAAATTCAAAAGCCTTTCTTAATCTGCTTGTGCTGTGTGCTGTATTAAAACCTAACACTTCATTCAGCAAAGTTATATCCCTCAAGTTGTTGGATTTTGCATTTGTAATACCATGAAACCTTCCACGGATTTATGACTGGGATCAACTTCTCCTCGCTCTGCTGTGATCTGAGACTTCCTTCTCAGGTTACAATCCATTTCCTTTTTGAATGCCTCGATTTAATCCATGCACTAAGGCAGTGTATTCCAGGTTTTGACCACTCACTGCATGAAAATGTTTGTCCTAATGTTGCTGTTGCTTCTTTTGCCATTGATTTATGCACACATGTAAACCAATACTCTGCTCTTCCACCCCTTTTTCATTGTAGCCTGTATTTTATATCGACTCTTCATGTTCTTCCTCTCATTATAAATCACTTTGGACTCCTCTGCATTGCATTTAATTTGTCACTTGTCTATCCATTCCACCTATCTGTAAGTCCACTGATGCATAATTCTTCTTTACAGCCTCCTAAAGGTTTGCTTCAATATTATGGACAGCAACCTAAAAGCTGTTGACCCCCTAAACTATAAACAGTGTTACACAGGCACAGGATGATTCCCACTCTGTGGTGAAAATAAGCCTCTCTCAGGCTAGCAGTCTATTTTTTTCTACAGAAAACAGGCATCTACCTGTTAATTCACAACAGCTCATTGCTCTGATGATATCAAGACATGCGTACACATTGCGTCTTTTATGTTGTAAAAAGCACACAAAGCTTCACAGAAGAACTTCATCAGATAATGTTTAACACAAAGTCACAGAGGCAGATATTAACACAGATAACAAATAGTGGCATGAAAGAAGTAATTTTTTTTAAGGACCACCTTCAAAGGACAGCAAGAGAGAGTGGTGGAGAGGTTTAGAAAAGAAATTCCAGAACTTTGGGTCAGGTAGTTGAAAGCTAGTAATCCAAGAGCCCAGACCAATGCTCTGTGGGAGGCTGAGTTGCAGTTTCAAATCCTACTTTGGCGGCTGGTGGAATTGAAGTTTGGTTAATAGATCTGAAGTACACACCTAGTCTCAGTGATTGTGAGCACGAGAAATAGCATGAATTGTCTGAAAAACCCATCTAGTTCACAAATACAGGGAAGAAAATTTGCTGTTCTTACCTCATCTGAACACGTGGCTCCAGACCCACGTCAATGTACTTGACTCCAAATTGCTCCCTGAAATGGTTGAACAGTCCACCAGTTCAAGGGCAGCAAGAAATTGCCAGTAAATGCTTTGAAAATCGGGGATGTGCAATAGGCCAGAATTGGAGGAACTCAGAAATCTCGGAGAATTGTAAGGCTGGAGGAAATTGGGAGATGTGGAAGAGGCAAAGCCATGGATGAGTTTCAACATAGAGAAGATGGGACAGCTAAAGAAGAAAAAGATCTAACATCTTAAATGTACAATTTGTCATGGTGTTGCAGGATCACAATGTGAAGTATTGCTGATCATTCTACCTTGATTCACACTGAAACTGAACCATGATATTACCTGCAGAGGGAGGGGAAAATGTTCCAACTGGAGCAGAGGTAGTAGAAAAAAATAGTCTGTGTTCGGAATAAGTCAGTTATTTCTTGTGAAAATGAAGCATGAATTGCTTTTAAAAAAGTGTGTAATCTTTTATTCATAACCAAAAAATGTAAAAATATGCTTTGGTTGGAGATGTTTTTAGTTCTCTCTGTGTAAACTGCCTTCGACTACAACTGGAAACTGTTAATTCTATCCTATTTTTATTTATTCATGGGATGAGGGCATCGCTGGCTAGGCCAGCATTTATTGCTCATCCCTAAATGACAGTCAACCACATTGCAGTGGAGACAGTAAAGCCTGCAGAGACTGAAAGCTAGGGTCAATAAATGAGGAGCTGGAAAAGCATAGCCCATCAGATGGCATCTGAGGAGCAGGAAAATCAACGTTTTGGGCCAAAACCCTTCGTCAGGACATTGTGGGTCTGGAGTCCAGCCCTAGCTCTGTGCTGGTATACCATACTTGAGTAAAACCATGACTTAATGCTGTCATTTGACCTTTTTTCTCAGGTCTAGCTTGGCTGGTTATTCCCAGGACTTCACTGTCTTTCCAGCTGGGTTCTCTACACTTTCAGAGCTGGAGGCTTTTTGTGATGCTGTGTTCAATACCCAGTCTATCCTCTGCATTGATTTATGCTGTAGGGATGCCTGAGAGTCCCAAGTACTTGATGCAGGTAAGAATGTATCATCCTTTAACTTTGGCTGTATTTGCATGCACTCACAAATGGACTTTAATTATGGATCTGCCGTGATTAAAACTCCTGTGTAATTATAAAATTTCTTTCTGCTTTCTTGTTGGCTTGACTTTTGATCATATGTTTACACCAGTATTTATTTAATGAAGCTTTAACATGGAGGTCTGTTGTTATCCAAAACTTTGGAGTTGCAGGCTGTGGTCAGTAGGTGATGCTGTGGAGAGTTTCAGAACACTTACATATAATGAAGGTAACACGTCAAGTGACCATGGGCAAAGGCAGAGCTCTTGGTCTTAGTTTTCAAACCATGGTAAAGTTAGTGGTTGTCTGTTTCATTCGATAATCCTTTCTGTCGAATCTTGGGTTGTGGGCAACACTGACATGGTCTGTTGTCCTGAGAAGGCCCTTCTCCGTGAATCTTTGCAGTACGCGTTGTGAAGGTTCCCCCAACACCCATATTGGATGATATTCCAGCTGGTCCCAGGAATGAAAGATTTGTCATATCATGAGCGGTTGAGGTCTCTGGATCTGTACTCAGCTGAGTTTAGAAGGGTAAGGGGCGCTGTCATTGAAACTTACAGAATACCAAGAGGCCTGGATAGAGTGGATGTGGAGAAGACGTTTCCACGAGAGACTAGGACCGTAGATGCAACCTCAGAGCGATAGGACAACTCTTTAGAACTGATATGAGGAGGAATTTCTTCAGGCAGAAGGTGGTAAATCTGTGGAACTCATTGCCACAGTGGGTTGTGGAAGCTAAGACATTGAGTGTATCTAGGACAGAGGTAGAGGTTCTTGATTGGTAAGGCTTACAAGGGTTACAGGGAGAAGGCAGGAGACTGGGGTTGAAAAACACATCAGCCATGATCAAATGTTGGAGCAGCCTCAATGGGTCGAATAGCCTAAATCAGCTTGAATATTTTATGGCCTTATGGTGTTATAATCTACTTCATGGAAAGACTGAAACCATTGATTTTACTCCCTACTCCAGACTCCAATTCTGAGCTACCAACTGCATTCCTGTCCCTGGCAATGATCTGAGAATACACTCTGCTGTTTGCAGCCTTGGTATCACATTTGATCCTAAGCTAAGCTTTTCATCTCCTATTCCTGCCAACATTAAGATTGCCCATCTTCACTTCAGTACCATCACGCAACTTCACCCTGTCTCAGCCCATTTGTTGATGAAATCCTCATTTGTGTCTTTGTTACCTCTAGACTGGACTTATCCAGCACAATCCCTGTTGATCTCCCACATTCTGCTCCATAAATGATCATGTAAAACTCTGCTGCCCATGGTGTTGCAGCAACTCCTGTTTCCCTAACCTCTCTGTACTTGCTGATTTCCATTGGATTCAAGAACTTCTGGTGCTTGTTTTCAAATCCTCCATGGCTGACCCCTCCATATCTTTGTAATCTCAGCTCCATAGACCTCCAATACATAAGCAGTCCTCTAATTCTGGCCTCTGCTACATTGCTGATATTAATTGCTCCACTATTGTAGTCTGCGCCTTCAGTTTCCAAGACTGTAATGTCTGGGATTCACTCCCTACCCCTCCCTTTCTTTTTTTTAAAAGAACTCCTTAAAATCCCTTTGAACAAACTTTTAGCCATATGACTTCATATTTCTTCTGCTGTTCGGCATCATACTTTGCTTTATAATATTTCTTGAAGGTCCTTAGAATGTTTCATTGCGCTAAAGACACTATATTAATGTTCTTGAGTAGATTTGTAGCTCAGGTTGTGGATGCTGTGGTTGGTTGGTTAGTTCACCAACGTTTCATTACCCTGCTGGGTAACATCATGAGTGCAGCCTCTGATGAAGCGCTGTTGTGTTTTCCCACCTGGTATTTAGACGTAAGAGTAGACGAGGATGAGAACATGGTGTCCTTTGACGTTACCGCTCTATTCACATCAATTGACATACCATTGGCAAGAGAAGCACTAACAATACTACTGAAGGAACCAGACCCCAGTAACACCATCTTAACAGACAACATGCTAAAATTACTGGACCTATGCCTCACGACCCACTTTACCTTTAATGACCAAATCTATGAACAAATCAACAGGACACCCATACAGTCACCTATCTCTGGACTAATAGCAGAAGTGGTGATGCAGAGACTTGAAAGCATAGCCCTCCGCAGATCCAACCTAAACTATGGATCCGATACATGGACTACACTTTGGTCATCATCAAACGGACTAAACTAGAGGAGACTAATAAACTAATAAACAACACTCACCAGCATCAAATTCACCAGGGAAGAAGAACAGGACGAATGGCTCCCATTCTTAGATGTCATGATAGAATGCAGGGCCAACGGGGAATTTCTGACGAAGGTACACAGAAAGGCCACACAGACGGATCAAGTCCTGAATTTCAACTATAACCACCCCAACACCCACAAACGAAGTTGTGTGAAAATACTATTTAAGCAAGCGACAACACACTGCAGCAACCTGGAACCATGCCAAAACAAGGAAGAATACCTCTACCAAGTATTTAAGGACAATGGATACTTGAACAGCTGGGTCCGACGATGTCTATCACACAAACAACAACAGGAGGATACGGTACACCTTGACATACTCATCACGTTATCAAGAACATATCCGAACTGACGCCAAGACTCTTACAACCATTGGGCATCAAAGTGGCACACAAACCTACGTCAACCTTACGCCAACTGCTAACTCGAACCAAAGACCCCTTACCCACTATGAACAGAACCAACATGATATACAAGATTCCATGCAAGTACTGTGACAAACATTGGACAGACAGGGAAGGAAACTGGCCACAAGAATACATAAACACCAACAGCAACAAAAAGATATGACCAGTACTCACTCTTCTCCATTCACACGGATAAGGAGAACCACCAGTTCAGGATCAGGATCAGGATCAGGACAACATCAGAATCCTAGGACCAGCCAAACAGAGACAAGCATGGGAATTCCTAGAGGCTTGGTTCTCCACCAAGAAGCCCATCGATGAACATGTAGAATTAGACCCGATATATACACCACAGTGTAGAAAAGCTGGAAATGAGGTAATCAACTCCAGTGGACCCCACAGTTTAAATACCAGGTGGGAAAACACAACAGCACTTCATCGAAGGCTGCACTGATGATGTCATGAGCAGGGTAATGAAACATCTGCGAACTAACAAACCAGCTCGGCAAATGAACCAACCACATCACACTATTTTAATATTTATTTTAGTAGTAACTATGAAGGAAAGAACATGTGTCTCCAAGTCAGGATGGTATGCTACTTGAGAGTCAGTTGTGTCCCCTTGGCCTTGCTGTTTTATCTTCCGTGTTGATAGCTGCTGATGTGGAATATGTTATCAAAGTAAGGATATGAGGTCAATTACAGCAGTCAGCTCCGGTACAATGAATCAATCCATTCAGTGTGAATGTTAGACCTTGTATTTCCTTTTGTTCTTTCAGATACACATCAGCCTCTCTAATGAGACCTTTTCTCACTCATTTTTACTTGAAGGTGGAGGGCCTTTACCACAGATACAATAAACAAGCTATAAAGTGGAACTGATTTCTTACGATCACTAACTTCATAGAGTATGGAATTTGTTGCTTTTTCTATGAACAGAACAAATTTGTTCTGTCTGTCTCACTTGAATATTCTATTTATTGAATCATGCAGCATTAAAGGAGGCCCTTTGTCCATAGCTTTGCAAATTTCTCCTTTTCAAGAACATATCAAATTATCTCTTGACAGTTACTATTGAATTGGTTCTCACTACCCTTTCAGGCAGTCTGGCCAGATCTTCACAACTTGGGTTTCAAAAAAAATCCTCACCATTTTTCTGTATGTTTTTTTGCCAGTGGTTCTAGTACTTGTTTCTTTGCACTGATTCCCAGAATCCAACAGCTTCACCCTCTCAATTCTTCATTAGCCCTCGTGATTTTGAACAGCTGGAATAAGCCTTTAATTTGTTCAACTCTAAGTGAATCCCAGCTTCTGCAATCTCCTCAAAACTGATGTGCTATGTCCCTGCATTGTTCGAGCAAATCTCTGCATCCTCTCCAAGAGCTTGGCAACCTTCCTAAAGTGTGGTTTACAGAATTCGGTACATTGTGTTGGTTCAGGGATAACTAGTGATTTACAAGGGTTTTGCAACATTTCCTTTCTTCTGCACCCTATGCCTCCATAAAACTAAGGATTCTTGTATATTTTATCAATTTCTGCTGTTGTCTTTATAGATTTGCTTCAGACACAAGAAACTCTATTCCTGCACCCCTTGTAAAATGTTCCTGTTTTTGTTCCTTTCATGGGATGTGGGCAACTCTGGATAGGCCAGCACTTATTGCCATTTTCTAACTGCCCAGCGGGCAGTTAAGGAAAAGCCACATTGCTGTGGGCCTGGAGTCACATGTTCTCCAGTCCAGGTAAGAACAGCAGATTTTCGAAAGAACATTAGTGAACCACATGGGTTTTTCCGACAAATGTCAGTAGCTTCATGGTCATCATTAGACCCTTTAATTCCAGATTCTTTATTGAATTCAAATTCCACCATCTGCCATGGCAGAATATTGCTTTATCTAATTTCCCCCAAGAGTTAAAGGAGCACAGGATGGTCTACTGTTAGCTTTCTCTGCTTAGTCTCTCTAAGTTGATGTCTGTAGGAATTAAGTTTCAAGAGTTCTCCTGCTTCCATTTGAAGTTCATAATAAATGATTTATAAATCAATATGGAGCACCATCTTTATATTCCTTTGCCTTTAACCATAGAGTCATGCAGCACAGAAACCGATCCTTAGTCATTGTCATTATTCGCTTGCGTTCAGTGTGTTGAATAGTGTTTATCTGCAACCTGTTGTGATTAATTTTGTTTCAATTTTTAAACCATTGGCCAAGGAAGTCACTGAGATCACTAACTTTTTTACTAATTTTTGTACAAGATGACATACAGATTTTTAGCACTACTGCCATGCTCCACAGACAGA